ATATATATATATATATACTGTAATTCAATATGGTAATGAGAGCTGCACATTTGCTGAGTGATTTACAATTTGTGTGACAGGATTATTAAGTATAAACTGTTATGAGTTACAAGTGTTATGAGTTAAACAGGTTCAAACCCAATGTAGAATGTTCCATTTTTTGACAGTTACTGTGTCCTTCTCAGGATAGACCTCATTCTTTACCACATAACAGAAACTACTGCATCACAGTGACAGTACTACATGATGTTGGGCCACCATCTGGTGAGTCCCAGATCAACAACACACACACACATATAACATTTGAGAACAAAAACTCTTATCATTCAAATATTTTTCAAACCTTCCCTTAAATTCACTGCTTCTGAAGACAATCTTTTCCAATGGCCAACTACTTTGGTAGAAAACATAAAACTGTCTTAGCTGAAGATGACTCTTACCCTGCCAAGATTTATATTCTTGTCTTCTTATTCTACTATTCTCATTGTTAAGTGAAAAAAATAAATAAAAGACGATGCATTGACACTATCAGTTCCTTTAACAGTCTTAAACACCTCAATCAGACCCCCTCTTTAGTTCATCTTTTTTTAAAGAGGGAACAGTTTAAGTCCACAAATAACGACTTTTCCATTAGAGGTTTTTTTAGTAGACCTCCTCTAAATTTTTTACAATTCAGTGTCTTAATAAGATAAGGGACCCAAGATTGAACACATTATTTCAAGTGTGGCCTAACCAGTGACTTATACAATGAAATAATAACCTCTTTAGACTTGTATTCATTGTTTTTGTATATACAACCTAAAATCCTATTTGCCATACCACCAGCTACAGCACACTGCTTTTATGGTGTAAGAGACTGATCAACCAGAACATCAAAATCCTTTATTTTCATAACACTGTTAGTTATTCCCATCAATATTATACTTAAGATTCCAAGTATGATAACTCATGTACATTAAACTTCCATTTATTATAAGCAGAGCCAGCTCAAGGCAGGTTTAAAGGGTATAAAGAACCCACTGCAAAATTTTAGGGGTGAAAAAATTTATCAAAAATACTAAGAAACAAAGAGAAAAGGGATATATATGGCAAAAGTTTGTGTGTAGAACTTAATATCACATCGAATACTGGAAAATTCAACTCCAGATTAGGTTTTACTTCGTATACGTGAAAAACAAACTAAATTAATTTTTGCATATACGCTTATTACTCGAAGAATTTTATTAATTTTGCCCATTAGTGTGGCAAGTGGTGAAAGATTGTTTTGTATATACATTGTTTTGTATATACGCTTATTACTCGAAGAATTTTATTAATTTTGCCCATTAGTGTGGCAAGTGGTGAAAGATTGTTTTCAAGACTAGAGTTGATAAAAATATTTTTGTGTTCCACAATGGGACAAAAGAGATTAAATGTTATAGCAATAATTTCTATAGAAAATAAAATGATCAGAGAAGTTAATATGAACAAATTAAGGAAAGGTTTTGCCATGTTAAAAACTCATAATGTCCCATTTTCTTAAGACTAATCTTTGTTTTTATGTGTATTTTTCTTCTTTGTGCCATTTTTTTAATTCTGAATTTAAAGAAATTATTCAAAATTTGGTAAGGTACAGAAAAAATTAAATATAATTTGAAAAAAGGGCACAATTTTGTATTTTCACACCCTTCAATTTTTGAACTTAAGCTGGCACTGAATGTAATTAAAAGTCATCCCATTTATTTGGCCAAATGATTTTAATCCCTTTGTAAATCAGCAGCATCCTATTCACAGCCACCAACACCCAAGATTATAATATCTTAATGTGCAAATAACAATAGATTAACTGCAAATTCAAGCACGTAACACAAAATGTTGAATTTATTTTAATAATTTTTTTGCTCTGATGAAATAAAGAAAATTAAAGTGCCCAAAATGTAGATTTTCGTACTTGCCTCAAGTTAACATCGTCAACTAGAACATCATATGTTTTTCTAAAGTACCACTGAAGAATCTTCATTTTCCTGTTATTATCATTCATTTTCATTTTAAACTAGTCTGATTTCTCTAAATATTTTTCATGTTATTATCATAGTTTTTTAAGGAAAATTTCAGTTATGGTTACTAGGATATCTTTCATGAATTGTATAGATCCTAATTTTTTGTACTCTAAATTGTGTTTTTAAATTATAACTCATTTTGTGTTTTATTTTACCAACAGCAACAAGCTAACTTTATGTGTTGTTTCCTCATGTAATCCTTGAGAAATGTCAACCCGAGGTCACTGCCCTTTGAACAACACAAGCCAACGCCAATGTCGCTGTCACAATCTGTAAGATCCATATCATATTATGGATCTATAAATTCAGCCGTTGAGTCTGATATTATAGACAACAATACCCTTCAGGAAGGAAGTTCATTTGGTGACCACATATCTCCAGTTCGTCGGTTTTTCTTATTGCTTACAACATTTGACTTTGTTTTTAATGTTCTTTTATGGCTCATCTGTACAATGGTAAGCTTAAATTTGTATGTCATTTAAGAATGATGCCTAATTGTTCAAGGGAACATGATGTAAACTTAATTCTATGTTCCATATCATTTAATGTTTTGGGTTTGCTGACATTTTTTTTTGTTAAAGTTTGAAATTACAGGGCATTTTGATTTTATTTTAATTCTGCAAAGAAGATAAGGAACCGAATTTATGAGTACATCATGAGTAATAAGCAGGATAACATTTAAGCACAAGAAGAATGTCAATTTACAGATGTTTTGGACACAGAGCAAACAATTCCACTTATTGTAAAGAATCTAAAACCAACCTTAAAGTACTTGTTTCATGTAGACTAATAAAGAATAAATGAATATTGGATTTCCAAATATTCTTCAGTCTTTCTCACCTTTACCAAGATTTGGAGACCTCTGACATTTTTTTTAAATATTTTAAAATCTTTCTTTATCTCAAACTTCACTTCTGAATATTTTTCCTAGTTACATATAAATGTACCATGAATAGAATACCATATATTGATATAGATTGTTCTAAATTGACCAGTTATTTCTGAGTTTGTATGAGTTTCCTATAACACACGGGCAAGAAAGTCATTAAGTTAATTTCATTCCAGCTCCTCTTTTAGCCTTTGTTGCTCTCTATAGATAAAATCTGTTCTACCCATGGAGGTGTGGATGCGATGCTGACAATTTTACAAGAATATTATCAGTGCAACTCTCACAAAATATTATCTATTTTCAGAGCCATGTTTAATGGGAATTAATTTTTGTATAAGGATAGTAGAAAAGTAGACTATATTAAATAGTTGAGAATAGATTTGTAACTTCCTTTGTTAAAACTCAAAATAACCTGTCAAAGTCATGTCATTAAGAGTATGTGCAGCTACATTCTTGTCAGAAGTAAATTTCTTCTACAATGTCCATTATTATTGATAATTTACTGACGTAAATTAGTGTAGTCATACTCTCTTTGACATAAATATTTTATTTACTTATTGAAATCATCCTAAGATACTTTGATGATATAAATATAGTTTATCTTTAAATTTGAGCAAAGCATGTGAGCGAAGGCTTTAGTAGCCACTAACAGGGTAAATTGTAATAGTGTAATTGATGTAAGTCTAATACTTTTCAGGCTATCATCATATGCACTTCACATATTTCTAGCTACTTTACCATTACAGTGAATCTATTTCTTGTTACAGTTAACTGGTGAAAGTGTACAAAATGCCTTCAAGAAAGAAGTCATTCACTACTCCTTCGAATCGTCCCTGTTCGATATTGTGGTAAATATTTATTAAACACTTGTGAAGTCCATGTTTGATATTGTGGTAAATATTTATTAAACACTTGTGAAGTCCATGTTTGATATTGTGGTAAACATTTATTAAACAGTTGTGAAGTCCCTGTTTGATATTGTGGTAAATATTTATTAAACAGTTGTGAAGTCCCTGTTTGATATTGTGGTAAATATTTATTAAACAGTTGTGAAGTCCCTGTTTGATATTGTGGTAAATATTTATTAAACAGTTGTGAAGTCCCTGTTCAATATTGTGTAAATATTTATTAAACAGTTGTGAAGTGCCTGTTCGATATTGTGGTAAATATTTAATAAACAGTTGTGAAGTCCCTGTTTGATATTGTGGTAAATATTTATTAAACACTTGTGAACAAAAATAAGCTAGCTAGATCAGAACATAAAAATTATAATATATTAACAAAGCCAGTCTTATATAATCAATTAATTCTAACTATTAAATATTTACAGATTCACAAAAAAGCACAAAAAAATCTAAAATGGTTAAAAATCATTGAACCATTAGTTGAGTACTTTCATTATGAAAAAAATTTTTTTTCCCATAATTCCAGTTACCTCGCATGAGGCTGAACTAACTTTGGAGACACAGTTTTGTCCTATATCTGTACTCCAAACCAACAATGTAAAATAAATTTCATAAATGTAAAACAAATTAAACAATAACAAAATTATTATGCAAATTCTGGCCGGTAATATTAACTCTTTTAACCCGCAATTGTTTGTGCGTTCTGCTGGAATTATTTTCATGATTTCCTGATAATTATTGCCATATTTCAATTTTCTTAATTTTGTGGATAATAAGGGGACATAAACGTCATCGGATGCTGTCACCGTTTGATGAATAAATCAGGATTTTGGGCTGGATGCTAGCAACGTCTACTCGGGGTTTAGGAGTTAATATAACTTACCAAAGAGAAAACTTCCTTTGTAATAGAGCCAAAGAAACTAACTATGAATAGAAAAGGGGCAGCGTATGTCATTATTTATAGAACACTCTAGGCACTTGTTAGTATGATACACAATATATGCAACCTACATAAGTGTCCATTTATCTTACAGCACTGCACATCTAAAAAAGAAACTGTTTGAAGCAACAGAAAAAAAGACTATCAAATAAGAAAATATATGCACTTAACAAAAACAATTAAACAGGTGAAGAGGTTTATAAAATTGTATTAATTCATCTTGTATAACTTCTTCAAATGCTTCTGTTGCAATTTGGTAACATATGTTTTATAAACTGAAAGAAAAAGCAGCCAATTTGTAAAGACTATATCATCACATAGTCATTAAGACTCCTTTTCCCCTGTCACTAATACTCTACAGTTGCAGTACAACATCTGATAGAAAAAGTTCATTGTTGATAAATGTTAATGGTTATGCATCTTCTCACAACAGTGCTATAATTTTATCTATACGTGAAAGTTTACCATGCATACAAAATCTGGCGATGTTTGAAGAAATATATTTTTTTTTCTGTCATGAGCATATTTGAGCTAAATGTATTATTAATTGAAATTTATCAGAATATGTGAAGTTTTAGCACTTCCAAATAAAGTGTTAAAATTTCTACATTTTTTCCCTTTCATTGATTTATGACTAATCAACATGAATCCAGCTAATGTGAATTTTTATGGATGAAATCAGCTATTAAAGAGTCTTTAGTAACTTCATCATAAATCTGTAATAATTATAAAATATATGTACGCACTAATATTTGTTAGCTTACTGCTTAGTTTCATTTTAATTTTTGTTTTTACTTTATTTACATAATTGTAGATCAAAATTAATGATCTAAGTTATATTATTTCTGAGATCTTAAGTTAATTAGCATCAGAAATTTTGAATGTTCTCTATTTCAGCTAATACAACTTCAGGCTAATCGGTAACTCATTTGGTTTCAAGCTAAAGCTACTCAGTAAGAAACATACATCATTAATTCAGTGCATTTAATTGTCTGTATCATAATCACCAATCAATCGTGGTGTCTTTCCCAGTCCTTAGGGTCAAAGACTATGGTTTGTTGTTTAACATCTCTTACTGACTACATTAATATTTTTAATTCACGCTTCTCATCTTTGAACCTTTTTCTAATGTCACTGAGCCAGTGAGTCTCTGCCTGCTTCTATTCTTCCTTCTGTTTTAACCCTTAGAATCTCTGCCAACCTTCCCTCAGATCTATTTATATGCCAAGTAGTGAGTCTTTCATTTTTAAGTTATGTCCAACAGTTGTCTTTGCATGTTTCGATACTTTCTTATTAGTTTTCCTTTTTATGTACTTGTTCTTCTTCATTTGTCCAGAACACCACATTTCAAATGCATTAAACTTTTATTTTCAGCATACAGTGTCTGTAGGTGGTAATCATACAGTATTTTAAAGGTTTTTTATTTTGTTTTTTGACATGTACGTCTATATTGTTAGTAAGATTGTAATTCTATTGTAGGTGGCATCATCGTGGAGATTTATATTTATTTTGCTTGCCTATGGACTTTTCAGGATATCCCACTGGTGGATGATAGCAGTGAGTAATCATCTAGTTCAGTGTATATTTGCAGCTATGTATGTACAAGTACCAATGTGTACAATATGGTGCTGGGTTTTTTTTTTCTTGGGAGATATATTAAAATACTGTTTGGGAAATATCTTTAAGATACATCTTCCTTTGCATTAATTAAATGAGCTGACTTTCTTTTTTACTTTTTTGCTCTGTACTGTTATTTTTACCTTTCTTTCATGTCATTTACTTGTTATGTATTTATGAAGGTGTGTAGATAAAATAGACTTTTTTTAAAGCTTAGTTTAAAACAGTTGCAGTATTGCTGTAAGTTGTATTTATTAATGGTTGTGATGCAAGGCATAAAAAAATTTTAAAATTCAGTAATGAATTCTAAGTGTACGGAAATCTTGTCCATTGGTTATCTACTGACCATACACATCATATTAGATTTACTATTGGTTATCTACTGACCACACACATCATATTAGATTTACTATTGGTTATCTACTGACCATACACATCATATCACACTTACTATTGACTATCTACTGACCATTCACATAATACTATAACTGACAATCATAGTTACACTAATATGATGTGTATGGTCAGTAGGTAACCAATAGTAAATCTAATATGATATGTATGGTCAGTAGATAGTCAATAGTAAGTGTAATATGATATGTATGGTCAGTAGATAACCAATAGTAAATCTAATATGATGTGAATGGTCAGTAGAGAGTCAATAGTAAATCTAATATGATGTGTATGGTCAGTAGATAACCAATAGTAAATCTAATATGATGTGTATGGTCAGTAGATAACCAATAGTAAATCTAATATGATGTGTATGGTCAGTAGATAACCAATAGTAAATCTAATATGATGTGTATGGTCAGTAGATAGCCAATAGTAAGCGTAATATGACGTGTATTTATAACTGAAAGTTTCTCCAGACTTACTTCATTACATTAACACTTCCAAAGTTAACATTTATTTTCAAAAATCCAGTGAACTAAGAAACATATCGTATATCTGTCAAGTTTTATATATATGTATTTAGACATTATTTTTTGTTTTTTGCCTAGTTAACCACTACTGCTACTGGAATTTTTGTCATATGTAAAGTATTTTTCTACCAGGTAAATATCTTATTTTTTTCTCTTTTCTTTTTTTCTCATTTCGTAATGGATGCGGTGGATATCTGCTGAAGTAATCCTTTTTAGGGCTAGCATGTTTGAAAAAACATGTACACATGTATGCATCAATATTTTAAAAAAAGCAATCTGTAGTAATCATCAATCATCTTCAAGATTTTGTTGTAGAAATATTTTTAGCCAACATTTATCAATCACATCTACATATAACTTTTTGTTGCTAACTTTGGTTCGGGAAGTAGTTTTCAGATATAAATAAAATGTATGCATGTTTTTTTTTTTAAGTGCTACAGTGTGTATCTGTTTCTCAATACAGTGATGCAGATACTAAAAATCAATAACAGTTAGGCTAAAATCCTGAATGTTATAGTATTTATAAATATATGTATGTATGTATTGATTCTACACTCGTATGATTTGTTAAAAAAATGTTTCACTCTGGGTATCTAAATTAGAATGATACAGTGATCCTGTTTTCCCACTGTGATTACATGGTTACTAAGTGTGAATTTATAGTATTGTCCATCATTAAATTAATACAAAAATATCCTTCCAAGGTTAATTATAATACAAAAATACTTTCCCAAGGTTAATTATAATACAAAACGAACTTTCTTATGGTTAATTATAATATAAAAAATACTATTACGTGGTTAATTATAATATAAAAAATACTATTACTTGGTTAATTATAATACAAATAATACTTTCACATGGTTAATTATAATACAAAACGAACTTTATTATGGTTAATTATAATATACAAAATACTATTACGTGGTTAATTATAATACAAAAAATACTTTCTTATGGTTAATTATAATACAAAAAATACTATTACATGGTTAATTATAATACAAAAAATACTTTCACATGGTTAATTATAATACAAAAAATACTTTCCCAAGGTTAATTATAATACAAAACGAACTTTCTTATGGTTAATTATAATATACAAAATACTTTCACATGGTTAATTATAATTCAAAAAATACTTTCACATGGTTATTACTACTCCATAGGATTGATGTATAATGATACTAATGAATAATAAGTTTTGAAAAAAATATTTGCTCTTGCATGTAATATTTTTCAGACTAAAAAGATTTTGGGTAGTGTTTTGACTTTCAAGTATTTTACAAAAAGCACTTTAGTGTAAAAAGCGTGTAAATATATGGAAATAAAAATTAGATTTAATTCTGTGTTTGTATATAGAACAAATATATACATATAAATTTTTGAGTGTCACAAATGTAGCTACTACAAAAAAAAAATTATTTTTCTAACTACACTTTATTTTCCAATTGTTTAGCATGTAGAGTTCATAATAACTTGTAGCCAAATATAAGTCTCTAGCTATTCATGTTTAATAGCAAAAATGTAAGCAGGTTTCTGCAGTACTGTTTCCAGTGGCTAACACAGTATTTTGGTTTTTCACTCATAATAACCTATTAGTTGTTTTCTCTGTTATGTAATGACAATGACTGTATTTATTTGATACCTTTTCAATAGGTAACGCTAAAACATTTAAAGAATGAATAATTTTTCCATTGATACAAGTATAATTTGTCAAAATGATTATGTTGTATTTTTTTCACTCATGCTTGGGTCCGGCATGGCCAGGTGGTTAGGGAGCTCGACTCGGAATCTGCGGGTCGCGGAATCGAATCCCCGTCCCAAACATGCTGGCCCTTCCAGCCGTGGGGGCGTTATTAAGTGACGGTCAATCCCACTATTTGTTGGTAAAAGAGTAGCCCAAGAGTTGGCAGTGGGTGGTGATGACTCGCTGACTTCCCTCTAGTCTTACACTGCTAAATTAGGGACGGCTAGCGCAGATAGCCCTCGTGTAGCTTTGCACGAAATTCAAAACAAACAAACAAACACCATGTGGAGCGTTTAATTGTCAACAATTATGAACATATAGTTATTCACTTAGAAGTGGCAGCCTAAAATAATTTTAGTTTGGTAATATTGTTTCCTAGAAATCTATAATGTAAAAACTTTTTATTATGATATTTGATGCACTCGTTAAACTAACATTTTCTCAGGATATGTATGATGTCACATCTGAAAATGAGGCTCAGTAAAGCTACAACTTATTTTGATTCTGAATTATTCTAAAAATTATTAATTTATTGTATAATGACTAATTTTGTTGAAAATTGTTTTTCAAATTTTTTTCTATTTCTTCTTAATGTTTTCTATTGATGTGGCTAATTAAACCTGGCAATGCATAGTAAACGATGTTACACAGAAAATATTGATAGCTTGTTTTATTGTTGTGTTACATCGCTTTGAGTTTGTAAAATTCACACATGGATTTAAAAAGGTAAATTTACAATAACTCAGTCAGGATTTTTGTTACCAAAGCATCTACAATATGACCAGTTTGTTTGTTTGTCATTGAGTTCTTCCTGCTTTTCATGTTATAAATACTATACTGTTAGTGGAATGCACCATATGAAGACCAAACACCTTATACCATTGTTGTGGTCCTGTTGATTGCCTCCTTTGTTATGTCCTGGGCAGAAGCATGGTTTCTAGACTTTAGAGTTGTGCCTACTGAAGAGAAGGCGTCATTATTGCTTGGTAAGCTGATTTGTGTTATCTACTTTACTATCAATAAACCAGGGTGGTCATAAAGTGGAAAATCAGGGAATTTAATAATGTGCACATTGCTTTTTTTTTTATCCCAGGAATCTTGCCTATGCACTTAAACCATTCTTATTAACTATATCAGTTTTAGTATATTTCAAAATAATCTTGGTTACACTTTATTATTTCATTTGTTGATAATTATCTATTTTATTATATTTGATGATAGCTAAGATCGAATATATTTTGATTAATAAAAATGCTCCTGTTTATTGTCTACCATCAAGTTGTAATGTCCTCGTGTGAAGATCTTTTTTGTTTTGTACCTTAGTTTGAAGAAAGTTTTGTTTTGAAGTTTTTATTACCAGATTATAAGCTGATGTGATATCGGTAGAATTAGAAATAAACATTGAAATGTCAGTATGTACGTGTTTTAATATATGTATTTAAAACAGAGTTGTCTGGTCTATTTGTGTGTTTGGATGTCACACGCTCAGGTGGACTCTCCAAAGATCTTGTATAAATGGAAAAGTAATTGGGCAAATGGTTTATGTTTGGAAGCCATTTCAGTTTTTATTGTTTGAAGACAACGACAAACAAAAGTTATGTTTAATACTGCAAATAACATGGACTGCTTTGCTGATCATCTGTAATTAATAGACCTGTAAGTTGAATGAAACATATGTGCACATCCTGCCATCCCCATGAAGTCAAAGAAATAAATGCCCTACAAGGCCCAGCTAGATTTGCTAGTACAACAAAGACCTTTCTTCTTTATACTGTTTAAGCAATAATCTAACCTTTCAGATTGACCAATTTTTTAGATTCTTTCCTCTTTGGCATAGATTTTTTGTTAAGATTCTAACATATATCACATCTTTCTGCTTTTGCATGGTACTACTCGGAGGGCTTTCTATAAAATTTTTCAAGTGTTGAATAGTTTAGATAGTCTTTATATCTGTACTAAATGATAAGCCATGTCTGAGCTTCAGTTTCATATCTAGTAAAAAATTGAAATAAAGTTATTTAAAAAAATTACAAGTTGCATTACTATACTGTTCACATTTATGGTGGCATATGTTGGTTTGTATATGAGTGCTGGTAATATTTATAATTTGAAACTATGTTATAAAGAAATGCTTTTTTTTTCTTTCAGTTATATAAGCTGTAATAATAATACAAATTATTATAAACAAAATCTTTTAAATGGCGAAAAATAACATGAAAGTTGTTTGTGTGAGAATTGCATGGCATCTGAAAACTGTTTAAAATACTTTTACTTTAAGTATAGAATATAAGTTATAATCACTGTTCATAAGCTTCAAGTTTGTAGCAAAAATAAAAAAAATTGAAAATACCACTTTTTCAGTGGCAGTTATTTTGATAACCATTTATTCTGTAGTAATGTTTGTCAGTACATATAACCACAATTTATAAGTTTGAACATGGAGTTTAAAAATGAAAGATTGAAGATACCAGTGCTTATTTTTTTCTCTGCCATTTTATTCTGTAGTAATGTTTTTCAGTACATATAACCACAATTTATAAGTTTGAACATGGAGTAAAAAATATGAAAGATTGAAGATACCACTGCTTATTTTTTTCTCTGCCATTTTATTCTGTAGTAATGTTTTTCAGTACATATAACCACAATTTATAAGTTTGAACATGGAGTAAAAAAATGAAAGATTGAAGATACCACTGCCAAATTATTTTCCCTTTTTGTGGCATTCATTTGGTAACCACTTTTTTTCTTCTTTCTTTCTTTCTAATCTGTCAGGCATTATAAACTGGCATGTATATCATTGTTGTGATTGGATTATTCAGTGATTTTTTCAAAGGAAATAATTTACATAGCGTGTTTCCTTAAATCAATTTTTATTTGTTTTTGTGCAAACAAACTTGGTGCCTAATAAAAAATGTAATTACATCTTTATTTTGAGCACGTATATTTTAAATTTACTTTTGCATAAAATTAAATGTGCTCTTTTATCTTGGATACCTATCAGGTGTGTATATTTAGTAATTGATAAGAATACGGAGCAAGTACCAATATCTACTTGCCTGGTTAAAAGCTTTTATGTAATTACACTAAGAAATATGTAATTTTCTATAATAAAACTAACTATTCAGACAACAAGGCCAAAAACAGAAATAAAACTTGGTGGGGAAACTTCAACTATCATTCCCTTTATTGCTGTAATTTTTAACCTAGACGTTTTAGATTTCATTATGCTGTTCATATAAGTATGCAACTGTTTTGGAGAGTTTTAATAAAAAGTTTAATCTAATAAACAATGTTTCAGTACCATTGTGGGGGCCCTATGTTTGCAGATACCTCTCATCCTAAGGTACATTTTATCCTCCCCACAATGTAGTTTATTCCCAGTTTTATTTGTCTGTTTTTTTGTTGTTGTTTTTTTATCTGAGATGCTTTTTGTTTTTGGCTTTCTTGTTTGAATAGTTGTACTAACAATTTAACGTAATGGTTATTTAATAGTTTCATATATTTATATACATACAAGTAGTTTACTATAAATAATTAAGCAAGGGTCATGTTTGTAGGAATACATTTACAGCCATATGCAGATGGGTAAATGTTCGGATTCAGTTACACAATTGAAAATACTAACTGATTACAAGTGGCAACCACATACTGGCACTTTATTGATTTTCTTTTCCTGTTCTACATTTGTCAAGAAAAGAATTAACAGTTAATATTGAAATATAATTTTCCAGCCTGTCTTGAACTACAGTAGTTATGTATGTATCAGTATTTAGCATTAATGTTTGTGTTTTTCAGCTAAATGTGTAAATGACCGTACACCTTTTATTCCACCGTATGAATCGGAATCTCATGCTTTCAGTGAAGATGGTACTTTTTACTCACCATTAGGTAAGGATGTTTTCTCAAATGTTGACATACTATTAAATAGTATTATACATTATAATAAAGTATTATTTTTATGACAAGCATATTGGATAATTACGTGTATAAGACCAAGTAACACTGGGTTTGGCATGGCCTGGTGGTTATGGTGCTCAACTAACAATCTGTAGGTCACAGATTTGGATTCTCATCACCAAACATGCTCGCCCTTTCAGCCATGAGGGTGTTATAGTGTAACAGTCAATCCCACTATTTATAGTTAAAAGAGCAGGTTACGAATTTGTGGTAGATTATATTGACCAGCTACCTTCAATCTGGTCAATCACAACTAAATTATGGACAGCTAGTGCAGACAGACAAACATCAAGTTGGTTTGCATGAAATTCAGACAAACAAACAAGCTAATTTACATTTTTTAGATGATACAGGTAAATCCATATTTTTGCTATTTATTAGTGATAAGATTAAAAAAAATATTCTAATAAGATGTGAAACATTTATTCAAGTTAAGGTAAAAAAAAACAAGGTATGAACTTAATAAAAAATCAAAATATAAATGTGTTAAAAATGAGAACAAGAAATAGTGCAACATGATTTTCATTTCCTCTTCTTTTCTGATAAGTTTATTTAGTTTCAAAAGTATTTAGCTTTATCAGTTTTCTGAGATTTGATAATTTTAAAAGTTTGTGTTGGTAGCCTTCAAACTAACAATTCCAACTGAACCTATTATGTTTTGTCCTGAGCTATTAATTAATATTATTTGAAGTGCTGAAGAACTAAATATATTGTAAACAAAAGGTTACTTAAATGCTTGTATTTTCAGAGAAAATTTTAATTCACCTGCACCTGCGTACATGAACAAATCATAAATAATATGATTGCGATCCACTCTTTTTTGCATTTTTCCCCTTCAGTTGACTGAATATGCTCAGGGTCAGTCCAATGGATTGACCTTATATTGATATAAAATATAAGGTCTCATACTTGTGTGTGGCCCGGCATGGCCAGGTGGTTAAGGCGCTGGACTCGCAATCTGAGGGTCGCGGGTTCGAATCCTCGTCACACCAAACATGCTCGCCCTTTCAGTTGTGGGGGCGTTATAATGTGACGGTCAATCCCACTATTCATTGGTAAAAGAGTAGCCCAAGAGTTGACGGTGGATGGTGATGACTAGCTGCCTTCCCTCTAGTCTTACACTGCTAAATTAGGGACGGCTAGTGCAGATAGCCCTAGTGTAGCTTTGCGCGAAATTCAAAACAAACAAACAAACTCATGCTGGTGTTGTAGTCCTATAAAAGTGTTGACTTTCAGCATGAAAGTCTGTATGATGAAGTTCAAAAGACATTAGCTTTATTATTGTTTTTTGCACTACTTTTATGGTGAATGTATAACTTAATTAGGATAAGGTACATATGATAGATACATGTAATTATAAAAACGTCAATATCTGAAACTTGTTTACATATTATTTTGTTTAATCAGTTTATGTGGTCATTAATACAGAGTAAAAATTGATTTAAGCCTAATTTTGCATTCCAAGACTTCTTCTGCATGTAATAGAACTTGAATTTAGTGTTTACTCCTCATTGAAAAGTTGCACATTTTATATGGTGCTAATTTCATATCCTTTTATTCTGTCATCTGTTCTGATTCTTTTAGAGAAAAAAAAAACTGAGCAGAATATTTTGCTTTTAAAATTATATTGATCATATTTGGAGAAAATCAGCTTTTACTTTGCCATAGCATTTAGCATGTACTTTAGAGAATTATAACTGTAACATCAGTATGGTGCTTATTTCATATCCTTTTATTCTGTCATCTGTTTTGATTCTTTTAGAGAAAAAAAAAACTGAGCAGAATATTTTGCCTTTAAAATTATATTGATCATATTTGGAGAAAATCAGCATTTTACTTTGCCATAGCATTTAGCATGTACTTTAGAGAATTATAACTGTAACATCAGCGGTAGTTGAATCGGTTTGTTGTTCTAAATATCGAAATAATACACATTTGGTAAGCCTGTAATATTTATTTGCACATATTTTTATGTTAAAATGTAAAAATGAGTATAATTGTACCAATTCAAGTATTATTATACATTTATACTAATTGTTTTATTATGAAAATACAGTTGTTAATCATCTAGTTGTACAGGTGATTTGGTTTTCATTTATGGTTCAAAAGGAACACCTTATTAACAAACAAGCCATCCTGGTGGCTCAGTGGTAAGTTTGAAGACTCACAACACAAAAAACTGGGCTTTGATGCTTGTGTTGGGCACAGAACAGATAGCCCATTGTGTAGCTTTGTGCTTAATAACAAACAAACAAACAATACTGACAAACAAAATAATTAACCAGGAGTATTGAAGTTCAGAGTTTTAATTCACTATTACATCTTTTAAGATGGTTTATGTGCAAATTGTTCTAACTCATTGTTTAAAGGCCAAGTGGTTAGGATATTTGACTTGCAATTTGTGGGTTGCTGGTTCGAATCCCCATCCCACCAAACATGCTCGCCCTTTCAACAACGGGGACATTATAATGTGATGGTTGATCCTATTATCTGTTGGTAAAAGAGTAGCCCAAAAGTTGGTAGTGGGTAGTGTTGACTAGCTGCCTTCCCTCTAGTCTATTACTGCTAAATTAGGGGCGGCTAGCACAGATAGCCCTTATGTAGCTTTGCACAAAATTCTAAAACAAACAAACATTTTGCAAGATGTTACATTCTCAGATGAAAAACTGTAGTAACATTTTTGTCAACTTCTGGTAAATGTAAAAAAAACTTTTTTTCTTTCTTTTACACTTAGACTCAAAACTGAAAAATGAACTATTGCATCCTATGATAGTGTACCACAAATTAATTGGGCCGAGTTTTTCAGTTTTATTTTAAAAATGGAAATTGCATACTACCATTTATAATAAATGATTTTATGGCTACATTATGCAAGAAACAGCAACATCAATCTTTATATATATAGATATTACTTGTATTGTAATACAAGTTGATTGTCTGACCTCAATACTAATATTTTTACTCATCGATGAAATGTATTTTCTTTTGAATTTTTAATGTTCATAAAATATATGTTGACAAATAACAGATTTAAGACTCTGCAAGAACTAAATGTTTTTTGTAATTTTTGCTTAAAACATATCTGGCTCAGTGTGCTTTTCTTGTAGTATATAACCTGTACAAAAGCACAATGAGACCCAGTAAAGAAACTGCCATACATTTTCTGTTGTTATGGCTTTTGGGAAGGAGTAATGATATTCTCTCCTCAGTTACTATGTATTGTATCTTCTGTTGCTGTTTAAGCACGAGTGATAAAATCCAAGAATTTTTATCATTTATGAAAGTGTGTCTGTTATCCAGGTAGTACAATAGGAGATGTAGAGGATGATGTGGAAGAACACGAGTCTGATTGTCCACCT